ACTTTCTGATTCACACGGTCTCAAGATCTCTGTGACAATTCTAATTCTGCAGGGGAACAGGGAATCTGCACTTTCAGAACAGCCACTAGGTAATTCTGATGGGCGGCCAAGTGAAGGAGCAGAGGGGAGAGGACAGGAACTTGACTGATCTGCCCCATAATGGCTGTGTGACCTTGGGCAACTCGCTAATCCTCTCTGAGTGTCAGTTTCTTTATCTGTAAAGCAGATACAGATATAACAATTTCACAGGAAATCAAGGACTTAGAATATTTCGTAAACTATAAGGTCTGCAAACATCACCCTGTGATCTCCTTTCTGCTCCAGCTTTCCCTGCTTCTCCGAGGACTGGGAGGGGAGGCTCTGTGTTAAGGCTTCACAAGGAATCCCAGGACCCTGTCACTCTGTGCCTAGTGCCTACACAATGTGCAAGTCCCCTTTGGGGCTGACGGAAGGAATCTCTTCCCCTACACGCATTTCCCCTGGGGCACGGGGCACGTTCCTGGAGCCTAGCTATGAGGTTCCCACCACCAGTGTCCAGACCCCACCCGCTTGCCCTCCCCTAGGGCCTCACTGTGAGGCCCCAGAACTGGGAGGCCAGCAGCAGCTCACCCAAGGCCCTACTGGGCAGGTCGCCAAAAATAACACAGAGGTGAAGGGAGGAGGGGGAGTGGCTCCCACCCTTGGGCCTCCGGGGCCCTCCTAGGACCTCTTTGGCACCTTCCTTCCACTGTGCTCGCCCGGTATCCACTTCCCCAGGGCACAGAGGCCATACCACCTGGCCTTCCTCCCGGCCTCAGCCAAGCTCCCATACCCTGGCTCTCCTGCCCTGGTGTACAGGTGGGTACACACACATGTGCATGACTCCCAGGCCCTTCAAATCCATCCTCTGGCACCCCAAACTCCCAGGTGTGGTTGAGGATAATTAGTTGTCTTCATGTAGTCAGGGGGGCCCCTTCTTGTGCACAGGGCCAAGGTGTGTCTTGAGGTTAGAGCCCCAGCACTCTGAGGGAACCCTCCCTCCTCCCAGCCCCAGTTTGGTGGCAGGAGCTAGCTACCTCATGTCCCTGCTGGTCTTGAAACTCAGGGGACAAATCCAGTGTCCTCTTAGGAAAGCCCAGAGGTTGGAGGTGGGGGGGACATCTCACCACAGAGGTACCCAAGAAATGGGGTTCAGGTGTGGCTACTCATGCATGGAGCTCCCACAACCCTGTCAAGGGTTTAGGAGAAACTTCTAGAAAGTTAGCTTTGGCCACACACACCCCCCAGCGACACAGGCAGCTAAGTCAAGGAGAAGGGGCTTTAGCAAGTGCTGAGATAGTGATGAACTTTGCTTTAAGCAGTAGAGCTCTTTTTAAAAGCCATCTTCTGGGGCGCCTGGGTGGCTCAGTGGGTTGAGCCACTGCCTTCGGCTCAGGTCATGATCTCAGGGTCCTGGGATCGAGTCCCACATCGGGCTCTGCTCAGCGGGGAGCCTTCTTCCCTCTCTCTCTCTCTGCCTGCCTCTTTGTCTGCTTGTGATCTCTCTCTGTCAAATAAATAAATAAAAATCTTTAAAAAAAATTAAAAAAAAAAAAAAGCTATCTTCTGGGCATCCCCATTAAGCCGTCATAAATGCACATTTGCTATTGTTGAATTGGGGGATGGGCTTGGACCCGCTGCTATTCAGTCTTTCCCATCCCCGCTGCCAGAAATCTCCTGCTTCCAAAGAATACATCAGAAAAACCACCTGCTAAAGGCCACTCTACAAGGGCAGGAATTTCAGTCTGTTTTATCCACTGCTGCCACATAATGGCCTGGTGCCTAGAATAAAGCCTGGCACACAGTCGGTGCTCAAAAAAACTCAAACCGAATGTATTTCAACCCATTCACATTACATGTGAGGAAACTGAGGCCCAGAGAGGCTAAGTGATTTGCCTAAGGATACACAGCAAGGGGTAACCCAACTTCCTCTGTGGCTGTCCCACAGAGGCATTTCTTACAGAACAGACAATCCTCCCACCCCCAAAACCCCAGATCACAGTGACCCCCGCCCAATCCTCTCTCTGTAGCCTGAGCACTCAGGGCAGGGTTTCAGCTAGGCAGTCACCCCACCAAGCACTCACTTGTCTTTGCGGCCTTGACCTTAGCCACCAGTTTCTGCACACCAGTCACATCTCCATTCTTGACGGCAAGGATCAAGTCCTGTTCACGACCCATTCCGGTCCCTGGGCTGGGCTCTGGGATCAGGAGTCCAGGCAGAGGCAGGAATACTTCAGGTCTAAGCCAAGGTGTCAGGGTGCCATGCCTTGGCCCGTTGGAGGGCCAGGCGTCCTGGTGAAGCAAGTCTGGTTTCCCAAGCAGTGGGCTTCTTATTAGGCACTGATGGGTACTCCCTCAAAGTGTTTCATGAGCAGCCACCACAAGCAGGAAAACCGATTTCTGAGGGGGTGGAGGCCACGTGGAAACCTGGACAGATACCTTCTTGCAGTGTCTGACGGCCCAGGGATGGGCTGGGACTGGGCACGCGAATCTTCCCGGCACGGCTCGGGAGCACCAATGCCCACCCAGAGCTCAGTCAGCATTCCCTCGGGCCTCGGGCAGCAGCAGTGGACAAGTCTCAGGGGTCTGGAAAAAGGTGCAGCGCCTCTGCTGAATGTGGGGCCAGGCCTGCGAGGGTCCCAGAAGCAGGGCTCAGAAGTGTAGGCCAGGGCTTCTAGGGAGCCCCCAAACCACCCTCGCTGCCCTTTGGAGTCAAGGAAGGGCCAAGCCACTCAAAGGGGGAAGACAGCTGCCAGGCATGAGAGGAGTATTTGGGGGGAGGCGGTGACTTTCTGGGAGAGGGAGGCTGAGTCACTGAGGCCCCAGGGCACCTGGCAGCACCTCAACCTGGGGCAGGAGGGGCCCTGGCAGCACGACACACAGAGGCAGGCTGGGCCAGCAGCCTGTTCTCCACAGCCCCGGGCTCTGACACCCACAGACAACTGGTGGGCCAGAAGGTGGGGCCTGGAAGGGTCAGGCACAGGCAGACAGGCAAGGGTCACTCCCTGTGGAAGGTGCCTTCCCCAGACTCCTCCCAATCTAAGCTTTACTATAATAGCTGGATGCCCTAGCCCCAGGCTCTTTAAGTATTCAGAGCGCGGAGTGGGGAGCTTACAGCTCCCCATTTCTGGCAGGGGTCTGACTGCTGGACTGGGAGGCTTTACAGCACCTGTTGCTGACCCATCCTCACCCCTTGTGCGGGATGGGGAAGCAGTGGGGTGCAGAACAGAGACAAGAGCTGGGGCGTGCTGGCAGAAAGGGCTGCCTGGCCCCCCCAAGCCTGAACCTGAGGCCCAGAGCCCCGACTTCGCTGCAGAAAAGCTTACGTCAGTTCTCAGTGGCCAGGAATTTGTTGCCCGAGCCCTGTGGCATGAGACCCGTGCAGGCCTGGGGCCCTAGCTGGGGTCTCCTTACTCCTAGAACGTCCCAAGCCCAACCGAGATGGCACTCCAGCTCTTGCCCGCAGCCGACACAGGACGAGGACGCCCCTGGTAGTGCTTGGGGTCGGGCTGGCTCCCCCGCCCCCCGGAATGCCCGTCCAGCGCCGCGCAATCCCCCCAACCCAGCCCAACCAGGGCCGACCCGGGGAACAAAGCGGCGGGAGCGACCGGGAGAGCCAAACGCCAGAGGGATTGATGCGGGAGGACGGAACAGGGGCGCGAAGAGGACGGAAGGAGCAGAGAGACGAAGGCTCCCGCCGATCTCGAAAGAAAAGTTAGTTTGTGCCCGCCCTCAAAGGTGCTGACCCCCCGCGCAGGCCCCGCGGTCTCACCTCTCCCAGCTGCCCCGCCGGGGGTCTGGCTGGCCCTGCTTGGTCCCTGGCACTCTGGACGGTGGCTCCCACTGCCCCCCTTACCCCCTTTCTCCTCCTTCTCCTCCTTTTCCAAGACCGGCTCGGCACCTCCCGCAGGAAATCCCGCCCCTCCCCCCTCCCTCCCGCCGGATCGGGAGCGGAGTGACTGTCCCGGCAGCGCAGTCGACCTGTCAGTCAGCGCCTACGGCCCCGCCCCCATCCGTACCAGACCCCGCCCCCACCGCTGTCGTCCGGCCCGGACACGCGGGCCGGGTCAGCGCATGCGCCCAGGTGAGGCGGCGTGGTAGGGGCGAGAGTGCGAGCCCTGCTCCCCGGCCTGCGGAGCCACCGCGACCTGGGGCTCTAGAGTTCAAACCCAAGGGCGAGATGCCCTGTTTATGATTGAATGGGAGAAAAGACGTGATGTGAAGGGGTCTGGAAACCGAGTCCTGGAGACTCCACTTGGGAAGCCCCCGCTCTTTTTAGCTCCTCGCCCCTCCTGGGATTTCCACGACCGGAGCCGCCGACCCGCAGCCGCTGGTTGGAGCAATGGTGCCACCTAGCGGACCATGTCGGAGCGGCCCATGGTGGCGGCGGCGGCGGGGACCCCAACCTCGAGGGAGTGCTAATGACAGCCAGGAGTGGCGCTTCAGCACCATCGTGGGCCGGACAGCTCCTCCCGCCCCCGAACCCTCGAAACCCGGCTTCCGAGCCCCTCGGAAGGGATCCAACGGAAGACCCAGAAGGAACTCCGAACCTACCCAGACCGCATCTGACAGCCCCTGGTGGCCACTCTGCGAGGCTGGACTGTGGGAACCTACAACTCTCCCTTCTTTAAACCCTCCCTCTCTCCTCGTCCAGCCTGAGTGGTGGAGACTAAGCGGCCCAGGGCTGCGGAGGGGAGGGTCACACATTTGACTGTCCATACTACACTCAGATGCCGGGTTCCTCAATTTTTACTACAGAGGAACTCGGAGGGGCTATGGGGAGGAGAGGTGAACTCCTTTAAATCCGGAAACCGGCACTCGCTCTGCCCCCGGAATCGAGGCACAAGTTTGTTGGCAGGCTCTAGGACAGCCAAGAAGGTGCAAAGCCGGTGGGTCGCGGGAGGATCTGCGGGCGCTAGGGCCGCGCGGAGTTCCGGCGGTGGGCGGGTCAGGGGCGGTGCGCGCGCAGCCGCAGACGGCGGCCCGATGGAGCCCGAGCTCGATCCGGCCGCCGTGGAGGTTCCCGCCGGGCGCGTGCTCTGGTGCGGTCCGGCCGGCGGAGGCGCGGGGCACGCGGAGAGGGCGGGGGGGAAGGGGACGAGAATGTCGGACGGGGCCGCGCGGCGCCAAGTGCGCAGGGCTGACCCGGCGTCTCTTCCTTCCCCAGTGCCCGGGAGCTCCTCGCTGCCCGCTCGCGGTCCCAGAAGCTGCCTCAGCGCTCGCATGGCCCCAAGGACTTCCTGCCCGACGGCTCGGCGGCCCAGGCCGAGCGGCTGCGTCTGTGCCGCGAGGAGCTCTGGCAGCTGCTGGCGGAGGAGCGCGTGGAGCGCCTGTGAGGGGGGCGGGCCGGGGCGGGGCCGGGACAGGCGGGGCGGCCGGAGCCCGTGGACTTCGCGGGGGGACTCAGACGGACCCCCTCCCCACTCTTCGCCAGGGGCAGTTTGGTGGCTGCCGAGTGGAGGCCGGAAGAGGGCTTCGTGGAATTGAAGTCTCCTGCGGTGAGAGGCGGGGCTCGGGGAGAGGGACCCGCCTTCTGTGCCTTCCTGGCTTCTTTGTGACTTTCGCTCGGGGTCCTACACAGGGTAAATTCTGGCAGACCATGGGCTTCTCAGAGCAGGGCCGGCAGCGGCTTCACCCGGAAGAGGCCTTATATCTGCTGGAGTGTGTGAGTGGGGCCCCCGGAGGGGGAGGAAGGGTGGGGAGCAAGGAACCGAAAGGACATGTTTTTATTAGCGTAAAAGTGTATATACAACTGAGGATTCAAGAAGCTTCTAACGCGAATTCTAGAACCATGCAGAGAGCGGGGATTCCCGTCCGAAATAGAGGTGGTGCCCTCCTTTCCTGGTTGGCCACATTCTTCCTGTGACGCTGGGGGTGGGGAGGGGGGAAAGGAAGGGCGCCCATGTGTCACCGCTTCGAAGTTGCCCCACTGGTTGAGCCACTGCAGGAGGGTCCACAAGCTGAGCTGTTGGCCCCACTTGCAGGGCTCCATCCAGCTTTTCTACCAAGATCTGCCACTGTCTATTCAGGAGGCCTACCAGCTACTGCTGACTGAGGACACTGTGACTTTTCTGCAGTACCAGGTATCTGCCACCCTCTCCCAGGCGAGGAGCTACCCGTCCACTGAGTCAGTGAGGATTCATAAGTACCTGCGAGGTGCTAGACACAGAGCTATGTGCTGGGACTACAGGACAGCCAAGGGCTCTGCGGTCATGGTGCCTGCATCCTAATGGTGGCAATTGGGCATAAGTGAGCAAGCAACTGAGTGACTGACTTCACAGAACTGAGCACTGGGGAGAAGACAAAGCAGGGGAGGGGCACGAGGCTAGAGACGTAAATGTAGACATCATGAGCTTGTGGGTGGTATTTAAAACCACAGAGCTGCACGGGAACGTAGCCAGGATCAAGAGCTGGGTCCGAGACCTGGAGGGTTCCAGTGTGATGAGGGGAAAGATAGGGAACCAGAAACAGACCAAGGAGTGTCTGACAACACAGGAGAAAAGCCAGGAGAGGTGGTGTCACGGAAGCCAAAAGAAGGAAGAAGTAATTGGCTATATTGAAGGCTGCTGAGAGATCAAGCAGGATGGGGTCATTCCTGCGTACATCTCTCTGATACGGGTATTAGAACACAAGGATGGACATACCGTTCTTTACCAAAGACCACTCCTACCCTACTCCTGTCTGTGGAGGTATAGGGTGGAGGGGCAGGGTGGGGGAGTGTGCTGTCTACCGCCTTTTGCCACTTCCTTGTTCACACTCTGGTCAGGAGTTTTGCACTGGACAGCTTTGGTATCATACCATTCTCTGCGTAGTTCTTTTCCTGATTCGTCAGCTATCAGCTTTTTTGGGATTTTGCATTTAAATCAAGAAAATGCTGAATGTCATTTATGCCCAGAATAAGGTAAGCAAGAGACAGGAATTCAGAGACTGAGATCTTAGTTTGGGGAGGGTGTTTATAATGGAGTATGATCCAGCCAATCCCAGGGTTTGGAATTGGGGTGTGCAGGAGGGGCAGGGGAGGCCACATGGGGAGTGGCTCCTGTCTGAAGGAACTATTTGGTGTTTTCAAAAGTGGGCCTCTGATCTTTACTTTTTCTCTTTGAGGCCTTCAGCCACCTGAAGAGACTGGGCTACGTGGTTCGACGATTCCAACCAAGGTAAATCCCAATCCCATTTCCCTCCCATTTATTCCAGTCATGGGACCTGGTAGATGAGCCCCAAGGTGGAAAATGGCCTCTCTTGACCTGGAATCCTTGGCTGGAGCTGCAGCTCCCCGGGCATGGGCTGGGGGCCTCTGTTGGAAGTGCTGTATGGAGAGGCACACTGGTCATTTCAGCTTATCCTGGGTTATCAAATTGAGCCCCATGTTCAGCCTGTTTGCTCCACAGATAACGATTAAGCACTTCTAGCTCATGACAGTGCACTGGCACATAGCTCTAATCCAGAACGGTGCCTCAGTGGGTGTGTAAGCAGATTGTCAAGTGCATGCATGAATGGCGGGCCTAGTGAGGCATTAACAGTTGAGTAGGGTCTCACATTCCTTTGGCTAAGTTAGATGTTCTTTCCTTCTGAGGCCTCTAAACATGATCACCTTAATAGCTCAGCATTGCTAAGAGCCACAGAGACCATCAGCCATAGAGTGGAAACTGGTATACTCTTTACTGTTTGGTAGTGTGTCACGAAAGTTCTAGAACAAGTATGCCCTTTACTTCCTAAAAGTGAGATATAGCCCAAGGAAATAGACACAGGTGTGTGCATAAGTTCACCTGTGAAAATGTTCATTCATTCATTCATTTGACAGTATTTGTTGATTTCTTACTGGGTGCTAGGCCCTGTGCTCATTGCTCAGGAATAGCAAAGTCATTGTCCTCACAGAACATGTATTTAGTGGGGAGGTTACACAAAATAATCATCACTTTGCAAAATTGGTGAACTTGGAAACATCCTGTGAGTTCAACGGGGATGGCACGGTCACACAAATTTGAGTTTGTCCCTTAGAGCAGTGCTGTCTTGTACAACCTTCTGCAGTGATAAGAACATTCCAGGTCTCTGCTGTCCAATATATGTGGCTTGTGCAACTGTGGGACTGAATTTTTGCTTAATTTTAATGGATTTAATTTAATCTTAATTGCCCCTTGTGTCTAGTGGGTATCATTTGGAAAGTGCAGCCTTAAAGAAAATGGCACCATAAAAAAAATCTTGGTAGGGAAGAATGCTATAGTCAGAAGGGCTTATGTCTATAATATGTTATTGAGAGTAAGAGGAGATTAAATAGCAGAATGTTAAGATTTTGAGAGAGAGCATGGGTGAGTGCAGGAGCCAGAGGGAGAGGGAGAAGCAGACTCCCTGCTGAGCAGGCACCTTGGATGTGGGACTTGATCCCAGGACCCCAAGATCACGACCAGAACTGAAGGCAGATGCTTAACTGACTGAGCCACCCAGGCACCCCAGTACAATGTAATTTTTGATAGGAAAAAACCATATGAGAGAGGGTGCGTGTTTATAAGAACCAAAAATGTTTGTATTTTTATTTTTCTGTATTTTCCAAGTTTTCTGGTCTCTTCATTTTTCTCACTAGTGGTTAATCATTTATTGCCGGCTCTCCAGGAGCCCCAGTTCCAGTGAGTCTCTGTTCAAAGGGGCCATTGGTGAGACCCAGAGGCCTGGGCAAAGACACATGGGCAGGCCCCTGCGGTTGCCCCCATTTACCCTGATTGCAGGTCTGCCCAGGGACTTGTCCCTTGGGTTTGGCTTTGACCCTGGCCCACTGATTTATCTTCTGGGCCAGTCCCTCACAAATTTTACTGGGAACTCCAGGCTGAGGAAGTGGATCTGTTGCCCACCCGATTCTCACCCCACAGCTCCATCCTGTCCCCTTACGAGAGACAGCTGAACTTGGACGGCAGTGCCCGGTGCTTAGAGGATCAGAATGGCAAGAGGAAGAGGAGGAGCTCCAGCTCTCGGTAATGTTTCCCACATGGCCACCCCCACCCCCCACCCAGGGAGTTCTGGGGAGCAGAGCTGTTAAGGGAGTACTGGTTTTGGGGACCTTGGAGAATGCATTGGCTTAAGAGCTGGGCTTGGGTGGCTCCCTAGTAGGATCCTGGAGGCAGTAGCATGTGTGTGGGATGTATGCATCTCAGCCATCAGGACCAGACATGCTGAATTTCCTCCCCACATCCCTCAGGTCCATTAATAAGAAGGCCAAGGCTCTGGAGAATCCCCCGCAGGGCGTGAACGAGACACCAGAGAGCCTGACAACCTCCAGCCCACCTCCTTGCAACCAGAACAACCAATGCGGAGAGGGGAAACCTCAGGAGTCAAACCCTGTAAAGGGCCCAGTGGGCCCATCTGAGCTTCTGGGATCCCTGCAGCCCTGGCCTGACCTGGCTAACGAGGGGGTGGGGTGTAGCCAGGAGAGTGGCAAAGTAGAGAACGGGGTCAAGGGGGTTTGTAAGCCACGCTGGAACTTTGAACAGATCCCCTTCCCCAACATGGCTTCAGATAGCCGCCACACCCTTCTGCTTGTCCCAGCCCCAGAGCTGCTCCCGGCCAACGTCGCTGGGCGGGAGACAGATGCGGAATCCTGGTGTCAGAAGCTGAACCAGAGGAAGGAGAAGCTCTCCAGGAGGGAACGGGAGCAACATGCAGAGGCCCAGCACTTCCGGGAGGATGTGAACTTGGATCCCGAGGTGCGATGCTGCTCTAGCTGGCAGGAGTACAAGCAGCTGCTGCGAAGACGGCACCTGCAGAAGAGCCGGAGCCGCCCCCCGCATCTTTGGGACCAGCCTGTCAGACCCTTGCTGAGTCCTGGCCAGGCAGACTCCCCAGGTACCTCCTTACCCTGCCAAAGCCCTGCAGGCCCCTGGCAGCTGAGGAGTCCTAAGACTTTGAAAGGGACATGGATTGGCCATGACTAATTGAGGCTTAAGAAAGCTGGGGCGGAGAGAGCTGTCCCATGGAGTGGAACCCACAAGGACAGTCTGTTCTCCTGCAAAGCAGCAAAAGGACCCATGTGGGAAGGTTTGGAAATGGCGAGTCTGTGTCCAGGGAGAGGCGAAGGGGAATGAAACTACAACTGTATCCTTAAAATCATAAACAAGATGCATGCGGGCAGCTCTACCACCAGCCAGCTGTGGTCCCTGTTCTCTCAACTCGGGGGTAGGGGAGCAAGGAGGTGCCATCTTGGCCAAATAAAAGGCTTACTGGTACACCTTGCATGTTTAAGAACAGGGAACTAATAGGGCAAGAACAGTATTAAGAGATGCAGAATTCTTTACAATCTTTATGAGAACATGGGAGATTCTAAATAATAAGATTAGGGTTGCCAGATGGGTTCTATTTGAAGTTCAGATAATCAGCTAATTTTTTTTAGTGTAAGTGTATTCCAAGTATTGGACATACCTACAATTTTATTTAATCTGTTAAGTCTGGCAACACTAAACTAGATGGCAGATTCAGAAATGTCAGAGGAGTCTGTAGATAGTTGACCCCCGCCCCCAACACCTTATTTTCACTGTCCTCGCAGCCACAGCCCTGCAGCATCTCTCTGTGCTGCGGACCACACACCTTGCTGATGGAGGTGCCCGGTGAGTCTCCAGGTAGTGCCTGTCTCCAGGGTGCCTTGGCTGCCAGCAGGAGTTGGCAGCTGGAGCTTGACTCCTGAGGTTGGACATGAGCTGGGGGATATTCATGTGTGTCTAGGGGAGAGGGAGGGATGAAAGGCAAGAGGTGGATTTAGCCTGAGGATTTTGAGATAGGCAGCTGGAACCTTCCCCTGCCCAAGTGGGAGGACCTCAGTTTCTCTTGATGAGGCTGCTTGGTGAACTGTGGGAGGGAAAGCATGGCAGGGAAAAGGGAGGCGGAGGGTCCCTGTTTCTTAAGGTTTCTCACTGTGTCCTCAGGCTGCTGGAGAAGTCTGGGGGCTTGGAGATCAGCTTTGACATCTACCAGGCTGATGCCGTGGCCACATTCCGAAAGAATAACCCTGGCAGGCCCTACGCCCGGATGTGCATTAGTGGGTACGAGACCAGTGCCACTACTCCCAGGCTGCTGCCCGTTCTCTTGTAAACCACATGGACCTGCCCTCTGTGCCCCTGGCCAGTTTGCCAGTCAGAAGAACCATGGTTCCGGAGAGCTGTGACTGACTCAGGGCCGCACAGCCAGTCCGTGCTATAGGAACCGGAGCTTCCCTGGTCCTTAGCCTTCATTCCTGGCATCTTTGGTTGTCTCTGTCCTGTGCTAATTTACTGCAGGGCTCATCCAGCAGAAGGGATGTGAATCAAAGGGATTCATAGGCTAAGAGCTCACTCTTCCGAGCGCCGTACCCAATCAGGCTCTGGGTCACTCTTGGAGAACAGGCCAGAGCCAAGCAGTTTGCAGACAGGAGAGCCCAGAGGCCCGACTTCTTGTACCCTCAACTCCTGTCTTATGATTTCGCTTCCCTGGTAGCCGAAGAGGGCTGGGGGCTCGGTTTATGGGTGGCCTGTGTCCACGTCTCAGTCTAACTCTATCCCTGCAGATTTGATGAGCCAGTTCCAGACCTCTGTACCCTCAAGCGGTTATCCTACCAGAGTGGGGATGTTCCTCTGATCTTTGCCCTGGTGGACCATGGAGACATCTCCTTCTATAGCTTCAGGGACTTCACGCTGCCCAGGGATCTGGAACACTAGTCACGCTGCTCTGGCAGGGCATGGGACCTGCTCTGGGGGACCTGGACTGTCTACTCTCAGGGACCATCTCCGCTGCCTCTTATACTCAGACCCTGACCTGTAGCTTCAGGGGCTGGTCTGGGCCTTGGCCCTGGGTGTCTGATGCTCGCAGGAGAACGAAGCCATGCCCCCCCCCCTTCCTGGCTTCCATAGTCCCCAGGCCTGAGATTGATGTCTTGGAACTCAGGACTAGATTTCAGAGACCCAGCGGGGTGGAGCAGAAGAGAGGACTCTGTGCCTTTAAACGAGAGGGTGCCTGCTTCGTGCGATAAAGCCAAAGCCATTAAAAAAGAGATCGCTTTTCTGCTGTGGCTGGAGATAGTGGACGAGTCCCCAGCTGGAGCATCCAGCCCTCCTTTCCCTCCTCTCCCCGCCCCGCCCCCAAAGTCCCGATGTCCGTGGACCTGGCCCCCAGGCCCTCACCCTATCTTTGCCCGCCCACACACAACGCTTTCTCTGGCGCGGGAGCGAAGAGAAGTCTCCCCGGGAGGGCAAGAACGCGACCCCGCACCTTTCTCAGGACCTGCGCCCGGGGCACGGGAAGTCACAGACCTAATTAGCTTGGCTTTCTGAATGGTCGTCCGCGGAGGGAGGCTGGCGCTCCATCGGGCTTTCCCTGAACGCAGCCACTTCGGGATAGAGGGGCGGCGGGGAGGCGCCACGTCGGCGCGCCTTGAGCCCCAGTGCTTCGGGTCGTGCTGTGGAGCGTGCCATTCGCGTCCCTGGCCTCCGCGCCCCTTCTGCTCCTGCCTCTCGTCGCTCCAACTCACTCTCCAGTTGCGCTAAACGCTCCGGTCAATGTTGCTGTCCTTCGGGGCCTTGGGCGCCTTCCTGCCTCCGCAGCGACACGAGGACCAAGGTTCACGCTTGGGACCCGCCCCGAGGGGAGGCGCCTCGTGGAGACGCCCCCGTCCCCAAGCCACTTCGCTCTTGGGTCCCGAAACGGCCCAGCGTCCACCGGTCACCCGCTCGGACTGGGTTGGACGTCTTCGGGAAGACCCGGCGCGGCTACGTCCCTCCAGCAGTCGCTCCGGGCCGACGTGGGGGAGGGGCCGCTCCCCTCTGCGATCGGTCCTGGAGGCGGCCCAGGATGCCGTGCGTCCCAGGGACTATTTCCTCCCGCACGCGGCAGGACACTGGGCGCGGCGCTTCAGCCTGAGTCCAGGTGCGCGCAGGTGAGGCCGGGGGTGGGCCCGCAGTGCCTCGTGCATATTCACGCCGGCCGCGGCCCCGCCTCCGCGCTCCCCGGGGGCGAGGATTGGCCGGAGAGCGGCGACCGCCCGCCCCCCACTCCCCGGGGGCCCTCCCTGCGCTCCCGCCCCGTCTGCCCGGAGCCGTAGAGGGGCGGGGCCAGGCCCGGGGGCGGGGCCGCTGGGGCCCGGGGCTGGCGGCCCTGCGAGGCCGGCTGGCTCGCCCTTTATGTAAATAGCAGCGGCTCCGCCCCCTGCTCGCCGCGCCGGAGGTGAGCAGGAAGGAGACGGCCGCCCAGCAGCCCGTGGGCCGGCGGCGGAGTGAGCGGGGCCGGCGGCCGGTGCGGTGGGACGCCGAGGCCTCGGGCGGGGGCCGGCCTGGGGTTCCAGGTGAGGCGCGGGCGCGGAAACACCCATCCGGGTCCGCCCCCTCGGGGCGCCCTCCACTCGGGGCGCGAAGGCGGGGGAAGGCCGAGACCCCTGCGTCCGCGGGCGGGGCGGGAAGAGCTGTGCCCGGGTCCGCGCGCCTCGCCCTGGATGCCGTGGGTCGGTTTGTCTGGGCGAAGGACACCTGTAGGAAGTGCGGCTCGGAACTTCTCTCTGGCGGATCTGCCCGCGTTTACTGAATTTGAGCTCCGGGTTTGCCTAATAGAGTTGGTTTTGGGAAACGGGGAAACAAGTGCCCAGCCGCGTTGAGTGCCGGAGGTCACCGCGAGCGGGGGTGGGATCCCCGCTCCTTGGGCCCCACGTGCAAGGCGCCTGGCCCCGGAGGCTGGCGACGCGCGTCTCAGGTAGCCGGCTCTGTGCGAGCAGCGGCCGCAGCACGTTACCTCGCCGGCTTAGTCCCTGCCCCTACCATCTGGGCCCACTCCCTGCCGGCCTTTTGTGCGTCCTAATCCCCGGACGCAGGAAGCCCGCGGGAGGGACTTCGGTCTGGGCCTTTCTCCGCCTCTGGCTGCCTTGGACACCTTTAAGGGAAGGTATGGAGATCAGTAGGTTTTCCACGACGACGGGGGTGGAGTTGCGCTGTGATACGTTAGGACTTGGTGAGGAGTGAAAAATACCGTCTTGCCAAAGAAAGCGTGCAAAGTTTGCTCTTGGTTTGCCCCTGCTGGGCAGTTTGTAGACACACTGAGCTTTAGCTGTGGGGAGAAAGGACTGTACCCAGGAAAACCGCGGTGTGGCCCCCTCAGGCTCTCACCTGAAAGCAGGTGAGCTTGGAGTGAGGGGGCAGGGCTTGGACTCAGTGCCCCTTCCCGTGGGGATCCACAGTGCCAGATGCGGGGCGTCTTAACCTGGGCTCTTGGGATCCTCTGCAGAGTTTACAACTCAGAGTCCTGTCCGGCTGCTGAGGGGATTGTGAGCAGGGAGGGGAGCTGGGAGGGAATGAGTGTGTTAGGGCGACAGAAAACCCCAAGTGGGAGGAACGGAGCAGCGCTTCGGAATAGCTGTGGCCTAGCCCCAGGGGAAGCCGCGGTCAGAAGGGCTTTTGAGGAAGACGGGCCGGGTCCTCCAGAGCTGAGGCATGGGAAGGGTCCTGGGAGGGATGCTCCTCCTTACTTACCTTATGGGCAGAGCATTCAGATCTGTCTTCCTTCCTTCCTTCTTTTTAAGATTTATTTATTTATTTGAGAGAGAGAGCACCCCAGCACTACGCAGGGAGAAGGGCAGAGGGAGAGAAAGCCTCCAGCAGATTTCCTGCTGAGTCCAGAGCCTGCCACTTGGGGCTCCATCCTAGGACCCTGAGATCAAGACCTAAGCCAAAATCAGGAGTCTGGTGCTCAACCAACTGAGCCAACCAGGCACCCTAGATTTGGTTTTCTTTTTCTTTTTCTTTTTTAAAGATTTTATTTATTTATTTAGACAGAGAGAGAGAGATCACAAGTAGGCAGAGAGGCAGGCAGAGAGGGGAGGAAGCAGCTCCCCGCTAAGCAGAGAACCTGATGTGGGGCTTGATCCCAGGACCCTGGGATCATGACCTGAGCTGAAGGCAGTGGCTTTAACCCACTGAGCCACCCAGGTGCCCCTAGATTTGGTTTTCTTTTTTTTAAATTTTATTTATTTATTTGACAGAGAGATCACAAGAAGGCAGAGAGGCAGGCAGAGGCGGCGGGGGGCGGGGGAAGCAGGCTCCCTGCTGAGCAGAGAGCCCAATGCGGGGCTCGATCCTAGGACCCTGGGATCATGACCTGAGCCAAAGGCAGAGGCTTAACGCACTGAGCCACCCAGGTGCCCCTAGATTTGGTTTTCTTAAGTGATCTGCCCACACTGTTCACCTGTGGCAGTCAAGAGGCAAAGTCAGCTCTGGAGGCTCTGACTACTACTCCAAAGTTAGACAAGGCCAATCACTTGGCCGGGGGTTGGGGGGGGGGGAGGGGGATGGGCACTGGACGGTGTTTCCAGCATCTGAGGTCAGTCTGTATCCCTACTCTTCAGCGGAGTGCCCCTTTGGTGGCAGAATAATATCATTTTAATAACTTAATAATTGAGCACTTAGCGATTTTTTAATACAGTGGCATTGAAAGAAGGGAAAGGCCCATAATTACAGCTGACCCCATTAGTTTAAAAAATTAAAAAGGCAACAGGATCCCATAGCAGGAAACGTGAAATGTTTTAGAAAGTATGAAGAGGCAAAACTCCTTCTTGCCTCTCCGTGGTGAGGCTTTTTCTTCAAACGTGGTGTTAAGTTTTTTAGTGTCCTTCCAGGTAACAGGTTTAGCTCTGAATCACACCTTGCTGATTTCTTCTTGCTGCATGATCTTGGCTCAGTCGCCTAACTAGTATGCCAAGCCTCAGAGAGCCTTGTTGACAGGAGAATGGGGGAAATAATGTCAGGAACACGTATGGCCTGGCATAGAGCAGCCATCGGGGGTGGACGAGCTGCTTAACGTGCTCCATAAAGCATAAAAAGCTTCACTTGTGGAGCTTTGGGCAGACACCTAAGCCTTTTGGACATGCCTGCTGGGTTGCAGGGGGATTTGGCTTCTTTGTCCAGAAGTCGCCCAAGAGGCCCTCATTTTTGAAAGCCTCTGGGTGTCAGACCTTTTAAAATGCGAATATTTTTCCTTGAAACTAGGGAGGCAGAGGTAGAGGACAGTGGCCTCTACCAAGTGTCCCTTGGTACCTGCTCTGCTCCTTGGTAGAGCCAGGAGTGAGACCTGGTGGCCAGACCCCAGCTGGGGACCTTTGCTGGGAGGAGGGGGTATATAATCTAATCTGCTCAGCTTTTTGCTCGCAGAGGGCTTGGTTGCATGCATTCTGTACCCTGTTGGGGGTGGAGGGGATCACATTCTTGTGCTGCTCTGTTGCCATTAAGGAGCCTTTCTGGGGATTCCATAGTGCTTTCTTTCGACTTCATTTAGGGAAGAGGCATCCTCCCCTGCCAGGAGTTCCTGGCCCCAGGCGCCCGCTCACCCTGCACCCCATAGAGAAAGTGGTTCATGGAACTGGAAGTCGTGGAGCCTCTGCCATCGGTCTAGGACTCCTTGGCTACCCACTGGAGACATTGAGCATCCCGGGCAAGAGTCTCCAGGAGCACGGAGTTTCCTGAAGGATTCTTCAACTTCCCTGGTCCTTCTAGAAGTGCCAGGGACAGCTGTTGAGACACCTGAGTGGAGGCCCCAGAGGCCCATGGTCCCCGCTGCTGGGCTGGCTCCTGTGAGCCGCGCGGCCGCCTGGACTGACTTCTCCTGAGTACTCAGAGAAGCTTTCTTATCTCTCTCAGGCGATACCACTATCAGGGCTCCTCCTGGGTCGAGGCAGGCCAAGTCTGTTCGGCAACTTTGTTTTCCCCTACCCAGGAGCAGTTTTCAGGGAGAAGCAGGGTATGGGGCAGGAGGGGGCGTCCCCCAGTGGGGCCGTCAGTCCTGCTTGCTCTTATCTAGCCTTGGCTCGCAGGGTTCCCCAGGACACCCTCCTCTCCCTGTGCCCTGGCACCATGGGGCTGTGCCCAGTTCCCTTGGAGGTGACCTCCCCTCCCCACCCTGCTTCTCGGAGGAAACTGGTACTTCGGAGAGTCACCCTGCTCCTTCCCCTTCCCAGGAACAACAGTGAATTCTTGAGTAAGGAGAGGCTCCTCTGGGCGTGGGGACAGCTTTAGGTACCTGACTCTACC